CCCTTTTGTATTAATGGGAGCTGAACCTCTAACATGCTGCTTTTGTATAGTGGTTTAATTTACAGAGATATCACTGCATTAATCTGTTGCAGCAAACACAACACTATTCTAACAGTTTAAAAATTAACTGCTTTATTGGGCTTTAATTTTTAAAAGCAAATATGTATAGCACCCAGCTTTAAACGTGGCTTAAACATATTTATTCTCAAGATTATAAACTGCAGCTGCATTCATACTTGCAAATAAATGGGACAGAAGACTATGGGAAGTTTTCATTATATGCCATAATCATTTAATTTTGTTTGTTTGGGATTATACTCTGGGATATAGAAAAGGAGCTATACACTGTTAACCATGTAAGTCCTCTGCTCAGTGCAGATGTTATACAGATAGATTTTATATAGGTTTGCACCTTTAAAAAACTAAATAGGCCATTCATGGTCTAAGCCATTCTTTTAAAAGAAGTCAGTCCCTCTGAGTGATTTGTCACAGGAAGACTGTCAGATCGTGATTGCCTCAAAGTTTGACTTGTCTTACCTAGTTCCTGTAATATAACCCATATTGCTTTACGTAAATTATGTGTGCTACTGAAAACAAAGTTGTATAAAAAAATATAATGTACCAAGTCTAGTGTCAGCCAAAAGCAAATTATAGTCCTAGGAAGACCTAACACCTACAACTTTGTATTAATAACTTGAATATAGCCCTCTGCCACTGAATGCCTTCTAAATTTGTTTCCAGAAGATTGGAACAGTCTCTTGTGATTGAACACTCAAAAAACTAAGAAATATAAAAGTTAATCAAAAAATATATTATTATTTTTATTGCAGTTATTATTTTTATTGCAGCAGCCATTGGAATATCAGTAGTTAGAGGGAGATATGGAATGGGGAGACAGGATTATCAACATGGGAGAGTGGAGACCCATAGAGTATTGGCTGTCCCTTAATTGTCTCCCACTTCAAATAGTCTGGATAGCCTTGGCAACAGGTCCCCAGGGATGAAAATGCTCCTGCTTAATGCCAGGTTGGTAAATAGAAAATCACCATTGATCCAGGCTTATGTTAGAGAGATGTAGTTGGGAGAAGCAGGTGGGAGGGTAACATCTCCTGGCTTTGCCCACCTGGCTTCTCCATGGATCAACAGGTGAGGTAGAGAGGCAAAGTTGCAGCCCCTCACCAGATGTCCCATCCCACAGTCTATTGGGTTTGAGTAAAGGAGGATGGTCAGGACAATATAGGGATTCTGTGGGTGTACTGCCTATCCCCACTGCCCAACACTTTCCCTTCCTGAGCTGGATGAGCTGGTCTGGGTGGTGATGCTGGGAGTCCCCTTGGATAGTTATCATTCTGTCAGGAATGGCATAGGATGTCATTTCCTTCATTACAACCATAGGTCTGTATCTGGTGCCACCCAAGCAGTATCTGGTGCCACCCATGTTGCAGGACACACTCGGGACCTAGTTTTCTGTGCAGGTCAGAACATAGTATCTGGGTGTGGAGAGACTTTCCACATTTACATTTTGATAGACAGATCACTACCTGGTAGAGTTGAGACTCACTGGGACGTGAAACCTGTGCAAGTGTGTGGGAGGGAATTCAAGATGCTCCACCCCCAGAGAGTTATGGGTCCAGATGGATTCCTAATGCTCTTTGGGAATTTCCTGTTGTATTGGCAGGTGATCCTGTTGAAGCCTTGGGTGATCTCTGGAATAGAGAAATGACCAGTGTGGTGGACATGATTGTTCCTAAATGTCCCTTCCCAAAGAGTAGAGCCAAGCAAGCACTCTGATTCACTAGGTAGCAGATGGTGATGAAAAAAGACTAGAGCAAAGATGGTAAAAGACTCAGAGCAAACCAACACACACTAAAGTTTATTGGAGGGCTTATGCTGTGTTGGTGGTAGGAGTAAAGCAGTCTTTCTTCACTGTCGCAATTGCATCTGCATAGTATCATTCAGCAGAGCTGTCTCCAGTGGGTCAGAAGCCTTTTACGCTCTGCCCTCCAAGAGCAGTATGTAAACTCAGCAGCCCAGTGTGAAGAATTCGCACAGCACTTTGTAGATAAAATTGCTCAGATCCGCTCTACACTGAATGTTGTAGTAAATATAGGTCTGGGGGATGTAACCTTGGCCCCTGCTTGTCCTATGATATTGGATGTGTTTCATTTTGTGCAAACTGAGGATGTGGACAGGATGCTTGGAGAGGTAAAAGCCACCATGTGTGTAATAGATCCATGCCCTTCCTGGTTCTTAACAGCAGCTTGAGGGGGATTTGCTCAGTAGTTTAGGGGAATAGTGAATTTTCATGTTTCCTCAAAGAGGCTGTGGTGAAGCCATTGTTGGAAAAAATCCTCTAATGGGCCTATCATGCTAGAGAGAACTATTGGCCAGTCTCCAACATCCCATTTTTGGGCAAGGTTCCAGAGCATCCAGGGATTCCTGGATGAAATGGATTATTTAGATCCATTTCAATTTGGCAGTGGGACAGACAGCTTTGATCACCTTAGTAGATGACCTATGCTGGAAACTAAACAGTGGGAGTGTGCTCTATTGATTCTATTGGCTATCTCAGCAATGTCATCAACCATGCCATCCTTCTAGAAATACTTAAGGGACATGTTGAAATTAATAAGATAAAATTGCAGTGTAGACCCAGCCTTATCATTACATGCCTACTTGCAAGTAGCCATTTGCAGGAATTGTACTGCTGTAGGTATCAGATGAAGAATTTCCCTTTTTTTCCCCAACAGAAAAACTGAAATTTGGGGAGCATTGGGAAAATGGAATACTTCCTCTTAATATACTTAGTTTTTACTTTCTTAGTTTTTACTCTCTCAGAAGGATTATGGAGGACAATATACGGCATTAGGGAATAAGTATTCCTGTGTATAGAGCTTGAGAATCCCAGATACATTTCTGCATCTAAAGTATGTTGCCAGCTTCATGAGTGGTGAATACAGAGTTCTGGTTACAGGCCTTGTTTTGACTTTTCATTTACTTTGGTATTACTATGAGAACCAAATTCTGCTAAATGTTTTCCTTTGGTTCCTCCCTTGTGGTCAACTCTACTTCTTTCTTGAAACTCTACTTCCTTGAAAGGCTGTGAGGTAGGCAAACTATTGCAGATTAAAAACCAACAGTTTACTGTTCTGAGTTGGTGGTGGATAGGAAGGCCAGATGGAGTTGGGGTAAAAACTACTAAAGACTTGTTTTAGATGCCACACCCAAAAGGGGACAATCTCTGTGGCAATTGGGTTTTAGGCAAGATACAAAAAGGAAGTGGACTGCATCTAGTTAGAGGTTGGGTGGTCTGCTTAAAATTATTCTGTAACTACTATACATATACCAAATGATACAGTTACATTATAAATGATATGTTTGATACTAAAATAGTAAAAGCTCTTAATTGCTCTGCTCAAGAAGAGAATAAAAATTCAAAATGACCTTAATAGACTACAAAGCTGAGCCAAAACTAACAAAATGAATTTCAACAGTGAGAAAAGTTAGGTACTGCACATAGGCAGAAAAAAAATGAAATGCATAGATTTAGAATGGGGAATACCTGGCTTGACTTGACTACGTGTGAAAGGGATCTAGGAGTCCTAGTAAACCACAAGTCGAACATGAGTCAACAGTGTGATGCAGCAGCTACAAAAGCCAATGTGATTCTAGGCTGCATCAATAGAAGTATAATGTCTAGATCAAGTGAATTAATAGTACCACTATATTCTACTTTGGCTAGGCCTCACCTGGAATACTATGCCCAGCTCTGGGCACCATAATTCAAAAACGATATTAAGAAGCTTGAGCGTGTCCAAAGGAGGGCAATCAAAATGGTGAAGGATCTGGAAACCATACCCTATGAGGAGACACTTAGGGAACTGGGTATATTTAGTCTGGAGAAGAGAAGGTTCTGAGGTGACGTGATAGCCCTGCCCTATTTAAGTATTTGAAGGGATGTCATATTGAGGATGGAGCAAGCTTGTTTTCTGCTGCTCCAGAGAACAGGACCCAGAACAGTGGATTCAAACTACAGGAAAAGAGATTCCACCTCAACATTAGAAGGAACTTCCTGACAGTAAGAGCTGTTTGACAGTGGAACACACTCCCTTGGAGAGTAGTGGAGTCTCCTTCTCTGGAGGTTTTTAAACAGAGGCTGGATGGCCATCTGTTGGGGGATGCTTTGATTGAGAGTTTCTGCATGGCAGGGGGTTGGACTGGATGGCCCTTGTGATCTCTTCCAACTCGATGATTCTAAGTCCAGTCATCATGGGACCAAGTGGAGACATAAGTGGGTATGTGGCAACAGTTTAGTAGAATGATTGATGGCCTGTCAACTCCCCCTCCCATCTTATTTGAATGCACATGACATGCACTGGAGGCAAAAGTGGACAGTCCCTGGTGGGATCTTGATCTCTGACCTGCTGCTTTCTTTGATAGGTAGTCAGGTAAACAGGAGGAAAGTTTCCAAAGGGATAGCCATTTTATTCTGTTCAGCAAAAACAATGGGAACCAGAGGAACCCTACAGGTTACAGATAGGCTTTTGTTAGCAAGCTTGTTTATATTTGTAGTTTCAGTCCCCTAACTCACCACCATTTGAAGTTCCTTGATTGCTTAGACAGATTTTGAAAAAAGTCGGTATGCTGACTTGTAGGATAACTGAAATTTTTAGAATGAAGAGCCGAAGCTGGATATGGAGTAGGTTTTAAATGCTTATGGTATATTAGCATGCATGATCTTAGAAAATAAAAGGCCCCTTTAATTATGTGGTGACATTATGTAACTTATGTGCTCCCCTTTTCTTCTTTGCATCAAGAAATATATTTTGAATATTTAGTTTGTTGTTGTATGCCTTCAAGTAGTTTCTGATTTATGGTGACTCTAAGGTGAAACTATCACAGGGTTTTCTTGGCAAGATTTGATCAGTAGGGAAGTTGCCTTTGCCTTCCTCTGAAGCTGAGAGAGTGTGACTTGCCCAAAATTACCCAGTGGATTTCTATGGCTGAACAGGGATTTGAAAGCTGGTCTCCAGAGTCTTAGTCCAAAACTCAAACCACTATGCTATGCTGGCTCTCTCTAATCCATTTAGTGATGGATTCGTTTTTCACATGGTAACAGCTGGCTGTCTAGAAAATAAATTTTAATCAATAATATTACAATTCTTTGTTGGTTATGAAAACACTCTTCTTCCATTTCTTTGTTGTTTTGAAAATAGCTCAAAAGCAAAGATTGTTTACAAAACAAGTATCAGTGGGAAAAAATTAATATCTTAAGTCCTATACTCTCAGATTTAGTTCTGTTCCAAGGGGAGGGAGGGAATGGGGTTTGGATATATTGTATTTTAACACTGTAAGCCGCCCCGATTGGTCTCAGAGGGGCGGGATATAAATACATTTATTATTATTATTATTATTATTATTATTATTATTATTATTATTATGTATCTGCTTTAAGTGTGTGGATGTTTATTTATTTTAAGGTGGGCATTTTTTTGTTTGTTTTGTTGTTTCTGATCTTGAAAAATGTTCTGCTTTGGCCAAAGTATCTTGCAACAATTGGATGGCAGAAAGAGATTGTATGTCTGACCATGTTTCCCTATCCACTGGTTGTTGAGGTCTTTGGGACCAACAGAAGCCCAAAAAGCATCTTAAAATGGAGTGCAGAGAACAAGATATATATACGATAAAGATAGACCATCAAGGTTTCTGGGGGGAAGAATTGCTCAATAATTTGGGGTGTGAGGTCTGCACAAAACCACAAAGATAACACAATGAGATTATACACACATACACACACACACAAAACTAGTTAGTTCTAGAGGTCAGGGTTTGTGTGTCTTTTGCAGGATGGGTGAAGGAAATGCTGTCTCACTTGTAACTATAATCAAGTTGTTGGGTGGCTTCAAATGTTTTGTTTTCACAACAAACAGTGTGTTTTGAAGAGAAGGGTGTAAATAATGGGAAAGAGGGCATGCGATTTCAAATGCCTCTTCTGTGCTTCTCCCATAACTGTTAAGAGGAGTATGAGGGAAGGGAAGGAGTACTTATGGCCATTTCTCCTCAGGGAGGAGAAGAATGGCGGCCTGATTATCTGCTTCACATCACTCCTGCGGCTTTACTCTTTTTAAAATCTCCTCGCTGAGGTGCAGCCCATGTTCTTCGTACCTTCATTTTGGTCTTTGTACCTCACCCAACTTGAAGGGAGATGAATAAGTACTTTCAGGAACTAGACCAGGAGTAGGCAACCTTTTTGAGCCGGGGACCGGGTTGCTTTCCCTCAGACAATTAGGGGGCCGAAGCAAAAGAAAAAAGAAAAAAAGAAAAAGAAAAAAAAGGCATGCACACTCTCTCAGCCCCAGAAAAGCCATGGCAAAACCCCTGTGGAGATTTTGCCAAGAAAACCCCAAGAACAAGTAATAACAACAGTAATCAATATCATCATGGCGGAGGCCTCGGGTGGGGGGGGTGCATCCGGCCCCAAGGGCCAGAGGTTGCCTACCCTTGAACTAGACCTTCCCAGATTTGAAGGGCAGGGAGGTCTCGATTCTGAGGCAAACTCCTTATACCGTAGGGCAATTTTCAGTGTTTCATAGTTCCAAAACGCACTGAGAAATAATCCAGTTCGAGACTGCTTTAATTGCCCTGGCTCAATGCTAAGGAATTCTGGGAACTGTAGTTTTGTGAGACATTTATCCTTCTCTGTCAGAGAGAGACCTTGGGTTCCACGATAAACTACCATTCCCAGGATTCCCTAGCACTGGGAGCCAGGACAGTTAAAGCAGTCTCAAACTGGATTATTTCTGCAGTGTGTTTTGGACCATAGTCAGTAGGGGGGTTTAGTGATCGTGGTGTGGTAGCCCTTATTGATGTCACGAGTTAACTTACAATGTTCATCCCAATTTTCTAGAGCTGTACCTAAAGTACAGAAGGTTTCTTGATATCTATTAAGTTGCCTGAGGTAAAAGATAAGTCCTTCTGTGTGCTCCCTGCCTCACGCAGACTTTTCAAGTACAAAGATTGTCTTCACACCCCTTTTCCCCTCAGCATCATAATGCTGAAGGAAGATTTTCTTCACACTTGTGGCTCCTGTGTAAGGAAACACAAATCTTCTTGTCTCTCCTTTGCTGGATTTCAGTCAAGACTGGGATTTCAGTCAAGGGCTTATTCATACTGAGCTTCTTTCCCTCAGACGTCGCTCCTCTTAAGACTGACCTCACACGAATTTCTCTTTTCTCTTTACACACCCCAGTATTAACGGTCTTCATACAGGACAGAAACTATCCTATGAAGACTACATCTGCACTGCAGGAATAATCCGGTCTGATAACCACTTTTAACTGCCATGGCTCAGTGCTGTGGAATTCTGGGAATTGTAGTTTCTTGTGGCACACTTCTCAAGTGTGAGGAAAATACAATTCTGGGAATTGTAGTTGGTTGTGGCACCAGAGCTCTGCTGCCACTACAAACGACAATTCTCAGAATTCCATAGCCTTGAGCCATGGCAGTTAAAAGTGGTGCCAAACCGGATTATTTCTGCAGTGTGGATGCAGCCAAAGAGAACCTTGAAATTTTGTGAAAGCTATCACCTGTGAGAGCAAATGGCTACCCTACTTTCTACCCTCATATTGACAAGCAATAATAGAAACCAAATTTTCTTAAATGTTAAGAGTATTTATTCAGTAGTGCTGATACCATCGAAGGGAGGCAGTTGGCCCCTGCTGAAGTAACTCATATGAAGCGTAGGATTAGAGTGCTTCAAATCGAGAATATAGCGCATTGTCTGCCAATGAAAGTTCCCATTTATGTACAGCGTGTTTCTGTTAATTTGTGATCACCGCTGATCATACTTTCATACATTCAGTTAGTGTCATGAGCTTCCTTCTGAGGCAAAAGTGGGTACAGGCCATGCTTGTAATTAAACAATGGCACAAATAATAACTAGGCCCTTTCTCAAAAAACCAGGCCTTTAAAATATCTTCTGACTGGAAACTTGAGTATTTCTGCTAGTTCCAGAATAGAGCTGTGGAATAATATTTGTTTTTCTTTAAAAATGTATCTTTTTTTGTAGCCACTATTTAGGTACTTTGGATTTGTGCACAATCTACAGTTTAAGGCCTTAGATTATGAAGGGAGCAATAAGAGAATTCTGTCAGAATGAAACATTTTGGGGAAGGTAATGCAGTGGATTCCCTTAAACATATTTTAATATAACTTTAGATGTGGGCCCTCCAAATGTTGGACTGCAACTCCCATAATGATTGTGAGGGATAATGGAAATTGCAGTCCTACAGCATCTGCAGTACTGGGTTGCCCAGTCTTGGTTTATACCCTCAACTTGGCCCTGGCATTCAGAGATTTGAATTTCTTAATGTAGTTTTTAAAAATGTATATATGTTCTTGGTAACCAACTGTTTTGACTTCCCTTTCTCTAAAACTTTCCATTTGAATTTAAGAATAGAAGCTTCTATGGTTACATTCTGAATATGTTACAATGGACATAACAACATTTTAATGTGTGGATTATCAATTAGTATCTTTTTGAGAAGAGATACTTTCTAAACTTTTAGACCTTTGCCTTATGCTGCCAGTTTTCCTTTGAATTACATGCAAGTTGTGCTTTGAACGTAAGGCAAAAAGAAAGTGTGTCCTTGTAAAAACTTGATTTTTAATTGGTTAGGCAGTGGTAAAGAGTCATTTTTAAAGGGTAATAGTAATGGGGTTTTGTGGGTGTAGTGTACATTGGCACTGTAAATTAGTGAAATATGAGTACCTATTCCTTCTAGCTAGACACTTTGCCAGATACTACTGCTTTATGGTCCGTTATAGTTGGGAATATTCTGTTGCTTGCTTACCATGGCAACCATTCCTTGAGAATGTATTAAAGCAGGGGTAGGCAACCTTTCCCCTTTAAGGGCCGAGGGACTTCAGCTCCCAGAAGCCTCAGCCATATTGGCCAATAGTCCCATGTTGGCCAATAGCTCCTGGGATTCTGGGAGCTGAAGTCCCTCGGCCCTTAAAGGGGAAAGGTTGCCTACCCCTGTATTAAAATATGCAGTGGTAGCTGGTGCAGCAAATGGGAATACCACCCAGAGGCATAGTAAACTACACCTAGTTTGCAACTCAGTATCCCAGGGGTAGGCAACCTTTTTCAGCCGGGGGCCGGGTTGCTGTCCCTCAGACAACTGGGGGGCCGAAGCACCAAAAATAAATAAATAAATATACAAATAAAAATTAAAAAATATGCATGCACACTCTCTCAGCCCCAGAAAAGCCATGGCAAAACCCTTGTGGAGATTTTGCCAAGAAAACCCCAAGAACAAGTAATAACAACAATAATCAATATCATCATGGGGGGCGGCGGCGGCAGGACCGGCCTGAGGCCGGTCCAAAGGCCTCAGGGGGCCGCATCTGGCCCCCGGGCCTTAGGTTGCCTACCCCTGCAGTATCCTCTCTTGCATAAAATCAGAGTACACTCGTCCATCCACATTTGTGGCTTTGACTTTTGCGGCTTTGATTATTCACATATTTTATTAATATGTTCTCTCTAGGAATATCTAGGTCCTCCAGTGAAACTCTATGGTCAACTTTAACCAAAAGTCACCCTGAAGGACCCAGAGAGAATATTCCAGTAGGCATTTGTAGCTCCTGCAATGCAATTGTATGGTCAATGTCTGGCAGATGCTGACCACAGAGTTGCACTGGAGGACCTAGAGATTCCTAGAGGTGTTCTCTCAGGTATAAACATAGTGTTTTTGTTATTTGTGATTTTCCCACATTCACGGGGGTCCTGTGCCTCTAACCCCAGTGAATGTGGAGGGACAAATGTATTTTACGTCTGTGCCAATGTACTTACTGGTATGATAAACCTGTAAGTTACTTGTATTCCCATAACATGTGCTGCATAACCTTAATCAAAGTAATTCACAATGGGGGGAAATCAGTGTAATCCTGTTTCAGTCCAATTGGCGTCAGTGAAACTGACTCCATAGTTAAGTGTAATCCTTATTTGGGAGTAAGGTCTCTTGACCTCAGTAGAAAGTACTTCTGAGTAGATATGCATAGGATTACACTG